GGCGGAGCCCTCAGTTTTCTGCCCTCTCCTCGCCTCTCAGCCGTCCTTGCTCCGAGCTCAAGCCCTGGTTCTGGGGGCTGGGGCTGTTTCTTTGCCATTCACTCGACTCTGTCTCCGGGGAGAAAGAAGCCTTCAGACAGACACACAAACCTCGCGTTGGGAGCGGTTTCAGCGTGGGAGAACCAGAGGTTTCCAGGAGGAGGCCCAGGCAGGCCAATGCCCTTCCTCACTGGAAAGAAATTGCTCTCTGTCCGTCCTTGAGCAGCGAGAGCGAAACACTGGGTCCATCTTCTGGTCTGGCATCAGCTAGAATTTTAGTCTGTTACAAACAATGGCCTACTTGGGACATATCAAATGATTTATTTTGGTTTGCTGTTGCTACATGCTAACATTCATTGAAATATATGGCATACAATTTCAACTTGGGGGGAAACCTTCTGAGAGTATAATTTGGTGGAGCATTAAGCCTTTGACTATCAGAGGATTTACCAATGTGTTACCTCAGAAATTATAAAAGGAAGGACAGGGAGATCTCACTACGGGAACTGTGTCTATGAACTGCATTGTCTGCGCCCTTCATAAACCATAAAGAAGAGAGTACAGCAGGGATTTCTAAGAGGCAGCAGCCAGAGGGAGGGGGATGTAGCTCAGTGGTAGAGCGCATGCTTTGCATGTATGAGGTCCCGGGTTCGATCCCCGGCATCTCCACTTTGTTTTTATTTCCGCCTGCCTTTGTCACTAACGCTACAGATCGCCACTGCAGCCTTGATATGGACGTGCAGTCTCTCTCCTCTCCCTTTGTGAAAGCCCCTACGTTGTAGAAGAGGCAGGACACTAAAACCACTCGTCCCCGGCCGTCGTCAGGGTGCGCGCCTGCAAGTCCCCCCGGGTTGGCCGTGGCTGACACCATTTTCAGAGGGGGCCCGCAAAAGCAAAGCGGCCCAGCGGGGTATTGTCACGCGAATGCTCTCCGGTGGGTACAATTCTGTCTGCAGTGGTCATAAACGCCTTGCCGTCACCTTTCTCTCCTTGATGTCCCGTTTCAAACAGTAAAGACGGCTCGGAGCTGGAGGGCTTGGGGTCTTTGGGGAGCTTAACAACCATGACCTGAGCCCGCAGGAAGGGACGCGCTGGCCGGGTCAAGGAGGGCGAAGGGAACTAAAGGCCCAGGTTCTTTCTGAAGGGAACGGGCCTGACTCCAAGTGACAGATGCAGCTGTACCCTGTGTCCCTAGGGCAAGACACGGAAAAAACACCAGGGGGCGGTAACTGTTAAAGGCTTTGAACTTCCCAGAAAAGCTGTGAAGCTTTGGAAAATTTTTTTCATCTATTGTTTTGTGCTTAAAAAAAAATTAAAAGCTCATTCTATGACATAGCTGGAGACATTAAATTCGTAGAGTGGAGGGGCCCGGGCTGGGGAAAGAGGGGTGGGGGCTGCTGTTTGATGGGGACAGAGTTCCAGACTGGGAAGACGAGGGAGAGAGAATTCTGGGGAGGGAGGGGTGCTGGTGACCGCTGCACAGTGGACAGAATGCACGCCGCCGGGCTGCAAGCTGAAATATGCTAAGTGTTATGTTGCCTGTGTTTTTCCACAATTTGAAAGCAACACCGAGAACAAAGCCAAGCAGATGAAGTGACTTCCCGCTCAGGAGGCGTCTCTGGAGGCCGCACCTGCGGTGTCACTTCCACTGCCAGGAAGGGAGCTGGTTATTTTTGAGCCACGTAATTCGAACCAATTCAAAAGTACCCACGCAAACAGGAAAAAGAATGAGTTCACTGGCTCCCTGGGGCTTTTTTTTTTTGGCAAGCCTTCTAACCTGCGCATAAACTTGAGCCTTTTTTGGTTATATAATCTGTGACCAAGGACAGCCAGCTTTCCCCACCGAGTTCTCTGACGTCACCTCCATGGGGAACAAACGTTCGTTGCACCTTGCGCTCAGGCGTTCGACGGTGCTGAAAGACGCCAGGTAGGAGGCTGTGACCTTCACCGGAACTGCGCCCGTGGGGGAAGGGCAGCCCGCGGCCCGGCACGCACCCGCCCGGCCCCTCCCCCGGCCCTTTGTGAGCTCAGCCCGCCCCGCGCCCAGCCTGCCTGCCAATCCCGACTCTGTTGCTGGGGCTCTGCCGCGTTGCCGTTGGTGCCAGCTCTGAAGCCGCCCTCTCCGGGTGCCTGCAAAGGACGGATCCGAGGGCGGAACGAACTGAGCGTGGACGATGACTCAGCGGTCTTCTCGCACGTTCTGGCACTCTGCATTCTAGGTCAGGAGCCCTCTCCAGGCGGGACAGCGAGGCGTTGCCGGCGCTTTCCAGAACACGGAACAGCAGGCCGGACAAGGGCAGGGGTCTCAGCCTCTCGCCGTGGACGTGTTGGGGGACTGCTCACTCCACCATGTCTCAGTCACTGGGTGCCGTGGCCCCACAGCTGGGGCAACCCCTGGTCCCCGAGAGCAGTCAGTCCTGGCGGAAAAGGCCACTGCCCGGGCGCACACAGCCGCTGCCGTCCCTGTGCCCGGTCACTTCCCCCTCCCTCCCTGGGAGAGACGTTTACTGAAGTTCCCCGCGCGCGGCCCGCTGCAGGACGTCCCGGGTGCCGGGCTGCCTCCCCGGGCTTTTTCTAGAAACGTCGGTTTCTCTCTGGAGCTAACCCTCGCGCACTCCCCCTCCCGCTTCTCCTCCTCCCTCCTCCTCCCCACCCTGCCTCTGCCATCACGACTGTTTTTCTGTACCCTTTGGACTCCCAAAAAAAGCTCGAGTCACAGGCGCGTGACTCAGAGCGACATGACTCACAGAGCCGCCGTCACCAGATCCACACAGGGCGTGTTCGGGAGCCAGCGAGAAAGCTCACCTTCCGGTGCCCTGCAGAGATGCGAACTTCAGAAAAACAAAACAAGAACGAAAACACCTGGCCATCACAGGAATCCGTGCTGGCCATCACCAGGGTCTCCCGCTAGCTTGGGTTCCTGCTCTGCATTTTAACCCCCCGGGCCCGGGCATTCCTTGTTTGGGGGTTTAAGGGGTGGAAAAGTCCTCTAACAATGCTCAGGTAGATCTTCCCAGATCCACACAGCCGCAGGTTACCACAGCAACCACACAGCGGTTGTTCTGCCGGGGCTTCTCGGTGACATGACACTTGTAAAACGGTCTTCCCCTCTAAGGAGGGGCTGTGGTCCCGCCTCCGCCCCATCGTGGCAATGGAACATTCTAGAAGAGTCGCACAGCACAGCGTGGGGAGGGGGGGACTCGGGGCACGAGGGGGCAAATCCACCGCTAACGTTTAAGAGCCTCCAGCTCACCTGCTGGTCGACGCCACGATTCTCCCAAACACCAGGACACGACCCCGTGGCTGACCGTGCCCCTCCCCCTTGTGATCACAACGCGAGTTGCGCGTTTCATGCATCGGATCCCGGAAACACAGAGCGCAGCTTCGGTTCGCGTCCGTAAAAAGGCCCAGGTTAAAGCCCGGGCCGCACCAGGCGCCTCCGGCGGCGGCTTCCGGGGAGAGCCTGGGCGGCCGCGACCAGCCGCAACCAGCCAGCGCTGTCGGGGTCCGCCGTGGCTCCCCGCGGGTCTGCGCGCCGGCGGCCCGGGGCCGGGGCCGGGGCCGCGGAGGCGAGGGCAGGATGTGTCCAATCACCGGCCCGGCCCCCCACGAGACCACGGCGGTCACCTTCAAAACCCGACCCCCAAAGAAAAGCCCCCCTCGAAGGTCACCGGCCCGGGGGGGACAGAGGCGGGCCGGGGTGCGGGGGAGGCCCGGAAGGTGCCCAGTCACGGCCCGGCCCCCACGAGACCACGGCGGTCACCTCAGACGCGACCCCACAGAAAGCCCCCTAGAGGTCACGGGCCGTGGACACAGTGGGCCGCGGAGGCGAGGCCCGGATGTGCCCAGTCACGGCCCGGCCCCGACGAGACCACCGCGGTCACCTCAGACGCGACCCCACAGAAAGCCCCTCGAGGTCGCGGGCCGGGGACAGAGCGGGCCGCGCGCGGGGAGGGGGCGCCGGGCCGGAACGTCCACGGGCCGCCCACCGACGGGCCGCTGCGGCCGAGGGGACGGGGCGCGGGGCGGAGCCGAAGCCCCCGGCCGCCCGCCCGCTCCGGGCGCCGCCCGGCTCCGCGCCGGGTCTTCCCGCCGCCCGCGCGCCGGCTCCCCTCCCCCAGGGCGGGCGCCCGCACGTCGGCCGCAGCACGCAGCAAACGCCCTGATCCCTCCGCCGGGCCCCTCAGGGCGGCGGCCCCTCCCCTCCCGGGCCCGGCGGTACCGCCCCGGGCTCGACCCGAGAACGTTTTGTGAGGGGGCCGACGGCCCCGGGCGCAGGGTTCCTTCCCGGAGGGCGGAAGAGGCTGAGGAAAGTAGTTCCTTCTCGGCGTTTCTGCGGAGGGATCTCGCCGGGGCGGCGGCTCGCCGTCGGACTATATAAGCGGGCGCCGGGCGCGGCGCAGCCAGTTCCGTCAGAGCTGGAGTTAGTTTCCATTATCATGGTAAAACTAACAAAACCACAGCTACCGCTGCAGCAGCCGCCTGGTGAGTGGAACTCGTCGTGCTAGCCGGGGTGGGGGCGGCCCGCGGCCTTTTCGGCCGTGAGGGAGGAGGGCGGTGCGGCTGCCCCGCCGCGGGCGGGACGCCCTCCCGGGCGGGTAGTCGGCTGGGGTCGCCCCGCAGGCGGAAGAACCGACAAGATGGCGGCGCCGCCGAGCCGGGAGGTCAGGGTGCAGGGCGGACAGGGGCCGGAGAGCGCCGAGCGCCGCGAGGGTCTGAGGAGCGGAAGGCGGCGTCGCCGGGCCGCGTTTGGAGACGTGGGGGAGCGGTGTGGCGGGGCTGACGGGCAGCGCTGGGCCCCGGTTAGGGGCTGGGGAGTAGGGAGGCGCCTCGGCGCGGGGCTGCTCCAGCGGGTGGGGGGCGGCTCGCGCCGTGACGTCACCCGCGTGTTGGCACACAGAGCAGGGCGGGGCTGCCTCCCGGTGTGGGTGGCGTCGGTTTCTGTCAGTTGCAAGACACACGGTTAGGGCCTAGGCGAGATCCTGCTGAGTGGACGGGAACGCGAGCCGGAAGGGGGGAGGGACGGAAAAGCCCTGAGTTCACTGGTCACGTTTCCCTGCTTTCTTCATAACGAAGGGTCTGAGGCTGGGGTTTTGAAGTAATTTTTCAGGTTTGTGTTTGGTGTCCTTTGGAGTTCCTAAGCAAGTTATTAATTTTAATAGTGTAGATAAATAGACGATATTCAGTCTTTAGGAATATTAGTGAATTGTTTGCTGAATTTTTTTTTGTTTCTTTTTGTGTGTTTTCTCATAACAGACAATGCAGATCTTCGTGAAAACCTTAACTGGCAAGACCATCACCCTCGAGGTGGAGCCCAGTGACACCATCGAGAATGTCAAGGCAAAGATCCAGGACAAGGAGGGCATCCCCCCCGACCAGCAGAGGCTGATCTTTGCCGGCAAGCAGCTGGAAGACGGCCGCACCCTGTCCGACTACAACATCCAGAAGGAGTCCACCCTGCACCTGGTGCTGCGCCTCAGAGGTGGCATGCAGATCTTCGTGAAGACCCTGACCGGCAAGACCATCACCCTCGAGGTGGAGCCCAGTGACACCATCGAGAACGTCAAGGCGAAGATCCAGGACAAGGAGGGCATCCCCCCCGACCAGCAGAGGCTGATCTTTGCCGGCAAGCAGCTGGAAGACGGCCGCACCCTGTCCGACTACAACATCCAGAAGGAGTCCACCCTGCACCTGGTGCTGCGCCTCAGAGGTGGCATGCAGATCTTCGTGAAGACCCTGACCGGCAAGACCATCACCCTCGAGGTGGAGCCCAGTGACACCATCGAGAATGTCAAGGCGAAGATCCAGGACAAGGAGGGCATCCCCCCCGACCAGCAGAGGCTGATATTTGCCGGCAAGCAGCTGGAAGATGGCCGCACCCTGTCCGACTACAACATCCAGAAGGAGTCCACCCTGCACTTGGTCCTGCGTCTGAGGGGAGGTGTCTAAGTTCCCTCTCAAGCTTTAACAAATTTCATTGCACTTTTCTTTCAATAAAGTTCTTGCATTCCAAGTAGTGTGTGTGTGTGTGGTTTTTTTTTTTTTTTTTACATTTATTTTTTCTAATTGCAAATAGAGAAATAGAGTATCCCAATAGGTGAGAGAAGAGCTCTTTCTGCTTTTCAGAGTGTTGGGGGGTTGACATTTTTCTACCAGTTTTTCTGGGTAATGATAAAGCTTTTTCTCCATTATAGGATATAGTTGGTTGAGCAAAAACATAGTGAGATACACATGTAAAAAGTCACCAAATAGCAGTTTTTGGAATATTAGAAACTAAATTGGAAGGGAAGGGGGCATCTACAGAGAAACCAGGTTTAATACAGTTTTATTGGGTGTGTTTCAAACAGTTCATCAGATTCTGTGAAAAGGAGCAGGTGGGGTGGGTGGGTTGCCAGCATCTGTTCTAGTTGGAGCTGTTCTTTCCAACTTGCTGGTGCATTCTGAGGGGGTGTGTGCTTGGGCCCTTGCCACCCATGTGGGAGACCCAAATGGGAGTGGGCAGGATCATGTTTGGCCTGGCTCAGCCTTGGCTATTTGGAAAATGGAGTGGATGGAACATTCCTGTCCTGTCACTGTCAAGTAGGTAAAAAGATGAAAATACAATATTTTAATGAGTAGCAGGTAGTTTTAATCAAGCTTATGCCAGAATGGTTAGGAAATGAAAGCTACTGGCTGGAATGTCTGATAGGAAGATGGACTCCAGATCTTCATGTGGTAGGGTCGGATGGCAATGTGGCTCAGTGTGTTAAAGCCCTGTCCTGTGTTGCTGGCTTCTCCGCTTCTGATCCCGCTCCCTGCTGGTGCACCTGGGAAAGCTGCAGAGGATGGCCCAAGTGCTTGGGCCAGTTCTCCAACGTGGGAGACCTGGAAGAAGTCCCTGGTTCCTGGCTTTGGCCTGGCCCAGTTTTGGTCATTGTAGCCAGCTGGGGAGTGAACAGGGAAAACCTGTTTATTTGGAAGGCAGAATTAGAGGTATACATCCTTAAAAAATTTCCTGCGGTGACTAGATAAGGGTTTGTATGTAACCCAACTGGGCAAAACATTGGGCCTCCTGTTTGAATTTGTGCAGACATGTGACTGCACAGTGCTGGTTATGGGTTGTATTTTACTGAACTAAAGGTGGAAGTTGGGAACCCCAGAATTGTCCAGGGAGACGCTAAAAGACTTGGGAGGAGAAGTTTCCTCCCACCCGAGTTATAGGCAAATAGGCATAATCTGATGTACAAGAATTTTGTTAATTTTAGAGTGAACAGGTTTTTAGGTCAGGATCAGTAGGAAATTGGTGCCCTTTAAGAAATCCACTAGTCTAACCTCATCGGTTTGGAGTTTCCTTTGACTTACGTACGTGTAATGTGTAGTTCACTGAGTTTCTGTGACTCCTGCAAACAAGCACAGGGATCAAGAGTCCAGGAAACAACCAGAGCTCTTGTCACTTCAGTCAGACTTCAGTCAGTACGCTGGTTTTTCCTTACTTCCCTCGTTAGCATCTGGCGTACCTATCACATAGGAAAAATAGTGCCTTGAAAATGTATGGCAGGCATTGCAAGGCTTCTAGATAATGAGTGTATTTTGAAAACGCTTCAAAATTAGATGGAGAAATCAAGCAGTTGGGTGACTTACTGCTGGTCTTGAGAGTGTGGGGCTGAGGCAACAGCCTGGTGTCCTTTGGACAAGTGGAGACCCTGTGTATCTTGTGTAAGCCGGAAAGTCTGGACACCAGAACATCATTCTAACAAAGCTATGTGAGTGTTCTAGGGGTGCGGATGCGGAGTTGAAAGCTCAAACTCTGAACTAAAAAGTTTCCTGTCAGGTTCAAAGGAGTTTCTGATTGCAGGTGAAGGTACTGGAAAGATTTTGAAAACTGAAGCACAGTATAGGCACATTCATAAAATCAGATGTAAAACGTACTATCCATATAAGCCCACTGCTAGGAAAACATGTTTGCCTGTTTCTAAGTTAAAATGTATAGTTCCATATAAACATACCTGTGTGTATGCAGAATTGTAAAAGGTGAGAGGAATCTTAAGTTCCTAATCACCCAATTTTACTTCCCAGAAATAACTACGTGTAACACTTGGGTATGACTTCCCTTGTGTAACGAGTGTGCCATGTTTATTACATAGATACATGTGTACACGCAAACTGGAGCGTTTTCAATTCAATGTCCACATACTAGCCTGCTTTTTTTTTTTTTACTGGGTAATTACAGCATGTTCCCATGCTAACACCTTTCAATACTATGCTAGTATCCCATAGTATGGATATCCTATGATTTATTTAACCTGTCTGCCAACGTGTATCAGGTTTTTTGTGATTTTACTATTTTAGAAGATTTATTTGAAAGTGAGAGGGGGAAACCGATCTTACATCCACTGGTTTGCTCCCCAGGTGGTCCACATGGCCAGAGCTGGGCCAGGCCAAAGCCAGGAGCTTCATCCAGGTCTCCCATGTGGGTGGCAGGGCCCCAAACAGGTGGGCCACCTGTGGCTTTCCCTGGTGCCTTCCCAGGGAGCTGGATTGGAACCAGAGTGGCTGGGGCTCAGCCAGCTGCTCGAATACCGATACCTGTACCGCAAGTGGCTGCTTAGCCGGCTGTGCCCCAACGCCAGCCCTGGATCATTTGTTTAATGTACGTTTCTGAAGAGGCAACTTTCATGTGTTTCAATATTTAGAAAGGCGAATGAAGAGTATCATGAACAATATTTTCATAAACTTGTATTTGTCTGAAGGGCACAGTGACAGGAGCTCCTCCATGGTGAGTTCACTCCCTGGGGCTGGACCAGGACCAGGTGGGAGCCAGGACCAAGAGCTCCATCCAGGTCTCCTATGTGGGAGGACTCGGGCTGTCACTCGCTGCCTCAGGCATGTTAGGAAGCTGGATTGGAAGCATGGAGTAGCTGGGATTCCACCTGGTGCTCCAGTTTGCCAAGTGGGTGTGCGGCGTAACACCTTTGCCACAACATGTGCCGCACACCTTCCATCCTTGCCATCCTAGTCCCAGCCCTCACCCGGAGCACAGTTCTTTCAGACTTCATGTGTTAGAACGATTGATAATATATATTAATTTCCCCACCCACGCGAGGTAGCATCTTGTCCATACCTGATTTTTTTTTTTTTTTTTTTTTTTGCTTTATGCCTTTTGTCGTTTTGACAGAGTTCTGAGATCATTATGTTAGAGGAAAAGACCTCTTGTGCAATTCTCTCAAGAAGAAAGCCAGCCACCGGGGCCGCACCCATCCCCAGCGAACGCTTAGAAGCCTTTGGGGTACGTGAGGGACGAGCAGCTCACTTAAAGCACAGAGATGGTAAACTCTCACAGTCTGGGTAGTTTTAAAAGCACCTGTGTTTGGTTTCACACTTAAATGGCTACTACTTCAGGATTCACTTGCATAGGTTTCATTATGTTTTTTATTTATTTATTTATTTATTTTTTGACAGGCAGAGTGGACAGTGAGAGAGAGAGAGAGAGAGAAAGGTCTTCCTTTTGCCGTTGGTTCACCCTCCAATGGCCGCCGCGGCCAGCGTGCTGCGGCCGGCGCACCGCGCTGATCCGATGGCAGGAGCCAGGAGCCAGGTGCTTTTCCTGGTCTCCCATGGGGTGCAGGGCCCAAGCACCTGGGCCATCCTCCACTGCACTCCCGGGCCACAGCAGAGAGCTGGCCTGGAAGAGGGGCAACCGGGACAGAATCCGGCGCCCCAACCGGGACTAGAACCCGGTGTGCCGGCGCCGCTAGGCGGAGGATTAGCCTAGTGAGCTGCGGCGCCGGCCTAGGTTTCATTATGTAAGTCTTGAATAAACCAGGAGAAAAATATGAGGGTTGTATTCGTATATACAGTTGTATATACAGTTTGTGTAAAGTAGTCTACCTTTTATGTTTTGCCTGAAAGTGCAACAAAAGTCCTACCAAGCTATAAAGTCCTCATGAAGTGGATTCCTGGAAATTTCCATTTTAATGTGCAGTGCTTATGTCTGCCTGAAGAGGGAGCTGCTGGAACAGACCGGTTCAGTGATGCAGCCTGCAGCGCCCCCCGGTGGCCGTGGCCGTGGCCGTGGTTGACCGAGCGATTCCAGTTCCTTCCTTTCTGTGCTGCCCGGAGGCTGTCTCGTCCACTTCTCTGTGAAAGCGACTTCACCGTCCTCCCCCACGCCTTTGACCTCCTTTTTCTGTCTGGATTCTGGGCCTGCGCCGTCTCTGGTTCCACCCCAGCTGAGGCGACTGTAGCAGGTCTGCTCCTGCCTTCCACACCCCCCGGATCCTCCCTGTGGTGGACACCTCCCTTCAGGGGCTCGTTCCGCTCTGAAGTGCCACCACCTCGCCCACCTCGGCAGCTCGGGTCCTACCCGATGGAGAGCTAGGTCGGGCTGGGCATCGTGGGGCAGCACGTCCAGCCTCCCCTGGGGCGGCCCCACCTCATGACAAATACCAGCTGCTCAGTTTGCAGTGCAGCCCAGGCATCGGCAGTGTTAGAAACTTCTAGTGAATCTAGTGTAGCCAGGGTTGGGAACCCCTGATTTTAAAGTGTTGCCATCATTAAACGGGTGAAACTTTTTTTTTTTTTAAGATTTATTTATTTATTTGAAAGTCAGAATTACGCAGAGAGAGTCTTCCATCAATGGTTCACGATGGCCTCAACGGCCGGAGCTGTGCCGATCCAAAGCCAGGAGTCAGGAGCTTCTTCCTGTTCTCCCACGTGGGTGCAGGGGCCCAAGGACTTGGGCCATTTTCTACTGCTTTCCCGGGCCATAGCAGAGAGCTGGACAGGAAGCGGAGCAGCTGGGTCTCGAACAAGCGCCCATATGGGATGCCGGCGCTTTTAGGCCAGGGCGTTAACCCACTGCACCACCGCACCGGCCCCGAAATACTTTTCTTAATATTATTTTCTTAATGTATAATAATCTTTATGTATAATCTTAATGTATAATAATTATTTTCTTAATGTATTTTTGGGGGTTTGTGCACAGCAGGTTAAGCTACCATTTGAGATACCCACATCCCATATTCGAGTGCCTGGGAT